TTTAACTCCTCACCAACACCCAGTTGAACACATCAGAGATTTCACAGCTAACACACAGAGACAAAACCATCTTACCAGACAGTAAGCCTGCATCCGTCTTACCCTGGGGAAATGTGCTCCCATAATTCTCCTGCCTGTGGTCCCTGCTGAGATTCCTCCGAGCCAGATTCTGACATCCCCATTCCTCCAGAATGAGGGACACAGCCATGTCCTCAATCTTCACCATTGCCTGAAATAACAGGAGACAAACAGTCATTTCCCCCCAAACTCAGGGACAATCCTGAGTTTGCTCAAACCTGGAGTCAGGAACAGAGGTGGCTGCAAAGCTACAGGATGCTGGGAAGAAAAGGGTGGCCAGAACCTGGGGGTGGGGGGAAGTTTGTGGTAGAAAGATGCTAAAAGGAGGGGACAGGGTTGGGGCTTGAGAGCAGGGGCATCCAGAGTGGCCTGTGGAGACCACGAAGAGAGCTCAGGAACAGAGACAGATGCTGGGGACTCAGGAGAGCAGAGGGGCCACAACTCACCTGGGAATCCGCTGTGAATAGTGCAGATGCCATCCCTTGGTCTCTGGGACTACCCTCATGAGGGGGAGCAGGAACATGGGCAGCAGGAAGAGCTGGGGGAGGAGAAAGGGGCTGTGAGTAAATCAGCTCTGCTCTGAGCCTTGCTCAAGGAAGGGCTCGGGACACATTCCTTCCTGCACCAGCCACTGTTCAATGTTTAGGTCCCAAACAGAGAATTCCAGACAACACAAATGAGAGAACACAGGGCCTCAGTTTTCCCAAGACCTCTACTCCTGACCAGGAGTCATAAAAGGGTCCTAATCACCTGGTCCAACCCTTTTATTTTAAAGAAGGGGAAACTGAGTCTTTGAGAGTGCAAATGACTTCCCTAATGTCACATTCCCAGTGGCAGAGCCAGGATGGGAACCCAGGTTCCTATTCTCAGCTATGAAAGTGGGTACCTTCAGCCCATGACTCAAGTCTGGCTCCTAATTTCCTCCAGTCCAAGGAACGATACCAGGATATGAGAATCCCATTTATGTCTACACTTGTAGAAAACACAACACAGCTTTAAAATCTTCAGTAGCTGCTGAGGCGGGAGGATCGCTTGAGTCCAAGGGGTCGAGGCTGCAGTGAGCTATGATCACGCACTCCAGCCTGGATGACAGAGTGAGACCCCGTCTCAATGACTCAATGAAAACCCCCCGCCAAAAAAAAACACTTTAGTAGCAATATCCAGAAAGGGAGGGAAGTGAGGAGGTCTCCTTAGCTCTAGGTTTCTTTTTTTTTTTTGAGACAGACTTTTGTCCTTGTTGCCCAGGCTGGAGTGCAATTATGCGATCTCAGCTCACCGCAACCTTCGGCTCCCGGGTTCAAGAGATTCTCCTGCCTCAGCCTCCAGAGTAGCTGGGACTACAGGCATGCGCCACCATGCCCGACTAATTTTGTATTTTTAGTAGGGGCGGGGTTCCTCCATGTTGGTCAGGCTGGTCTCAAACTCCTGACCTTAGGTGATCTGCCCACCTCGGCCTCCCAAAGTGCTGGGATTACAAGTGTTAGCCACTGCGTCCGGCCACCTCTGGCTAAGTTTTTGCCACTTTTTGTCCCTCTACTTTTCTCCCTCACTTGGCCACAATGAATACTGTTTTTTTTTTGTTTGTTTGTTTTGTTTTTTGATAAGATGTATGCATGGTTCAAATGCTAAGAGACAAAAGTTTAACATTAGCATATGATCACAATAACTGTGATGCGTAAGAATTAGGAAAATTTTAAATTGTACAATTTAACCCCCTCCCCACCTCTTGCCAAGTACTATTAGATTTGGAAATGTTACTGGTAGACAGATGATGTTAGTGAGATACAAGTATATTTGAGAAATGAATTTGAAACGGAATGACCAAATTTTGTACCTATTTCAAACCATACAATAATAAAATGGGCTGTCACCCAGGTTGGAATGCAGTGCTCAAACATGTCTCACTGCAGCCTTGACCTCCTGGGCTCAAGTGATCCTCCCACCTTGGTCTCCCAAAATGCTGAGATTACAGATGTAAGCCATCGCACCCAACCAAGTACGGTTTTTTTTTTTTTTTGAGACGGAGTTTCATTCTATCACCCAGGCTGGCATGCAGTGGTGCGATCTTGGCTCACTGCAACCTCCACCTCCTGAGTTCAAGCGATTCTCCTGCCTCAGCCTCCCGAGTAGCTGGGACTACAGGCACCTGCCACCATGCTCAGATAATTTTTGTATTTTTAGTAGAGATGGGGTTTCACCATGTTGGCCAGGATGGTCTCCATCTCTTGACCTTATGATCTGCCCGCCTCAGCCTCCCAAAGTGCTAGGACTACAGGCATGAGTCACTGTGCCTGGTCCCAAGTACTTAATTTTTTAACTTTCTGAGAGTTAGGAAACACTCTGAAAAACAAGACAAAGAGGAAATTGAAAATAAATGTACATGTCTCAGTTCATTTAAGAACTATTTACTAAAGAGTAACTGTGTGTGCCAGGGTCTTTGAAATTGTTACTCTGGCAACCTAAACTCTATAATCAAGTGCTTAAGACCATGAATATCCTCTCCAGTTTCCTGAGGTCACCCCCCTGTGACTTCTGCTTGTGGAGTGTGGAGAAAACTTATAAGGACATCAACAGTGGTGGAGTTAAACATCATGGTGCGTGTTTTTTTGTTTTGTTTTGTTTTTGAGATGGAGTCTCACTCTGTCACCCAGGCTGGAGTGCAGTGATGCAATCTCGGCTCACTGCAAGCTCTGCCTCCCGGGTTCAAGCGTTCTTGTGCCTCAGCCTCTTGAGTAGCTGTGATTATAGGTGTATGCCACCAAAACCAGCTAATTTTTGTATTTTTAGTAGAGACAGAGTTTCGCCATGTTGGCCAGGCTAGTCTCGAACTCCTAACCTCAAGTGATTC